GCCCCGGGGACCACCCCAGCTTCCCCCACGGCCGGGGGCCTGGCCACCTTCGCCTCCCCGCGGCACGGCCTAGCGCTGCCGGAGGGGGATGGCAGTCGGGATCCGCCCGACAGGCCTCGATCCCCGGACCCGGGTGATAGTACCAGCTGCTGCAGTACCACCAACACAATTTGTACTGTGTCTGCCGCTACTGTGGTCCCGGTGGCTTCTGCTTCATCTGCCATTGGGGTCGCTCTCAACTCAGCCGGCGGTAGCAGTAACAATTCACCGTCGTCCTCTTCTTCCCCGACTTCTTCCTCATCTTCCTCTCCATCCTCCCCCGGATCGAGCTTGGCTGAGAGTCCCGAGGCGTCCGGGGTTAGCACCACGGCAACACTGGGACCTGGGGCAGCGGGACCTGGGACGGGGGTCCCAGCAGTGAGCGGGGCCCTACGGGAATTGCTGGAGGCCTGTCGCAATGGGGACGTGTCCCGGGTAAAGAGGCTGGTGGACGCTGCAAACGTAAATGCAAAGGACATGGCTGGCCGGAAGTCTTCTCCCCTGCACTTCGCTGCAGGTCAGAGACTTTTGAATTGTTTGTTAAGAGTTTGGGGATTGAGGGTCGGGTGGTCCGACAGGGAAAAAACAAAACAGGTTATTGTGAGGGGACAAGATGGGGGCGTGGTTATGGTTCTTTATACCTCTCCTGGAGACAACAGGTTCTTTTCTTAAATAGCATCTCGGTGATGGGGGCGTGGAAAAGGGACGTGTAAATTCATTCTACAGTGATTACACGGTACTTATTCCAAGACTGTAGTAGTAGTCTGTAGACATATATAAACTTTTTCAGTTCTGAGTGTGATAACTCGAGTGGCTTGAAGTCTGTAGACATATATAAACTTTTTCAGTTCTGAGTGTGATAACTCGAGTGGCTTGAAGTCTGTAGACATATATAAACTTTTTCAGTTCTGAGTGTGATAACTCGAGTGGCTTGAAGTCTGTAGACATATATAAACTTTTTCAGTTCTGAGTGTGATAACTCGAGTGGCTTGAGTGTAGCTTTGTTGTTTGTGTGTTAAGTCTGTTTTAGCTTTACACGAAGGTTATTTCTTGAGCACAATCAGACCAAAAGAAGTTTTACTGTAACTCAAGTGTCTGTTGTAGTCTTAGTTACTCACTGAAAAACATACATGGAACTTTTGAAACTCCCAGTCTGCTTGGGGAGACCAAATTATACCTATATGAAGCAATTGGGGGAATATTGGGTGCATTATGTGATGATGGGAGAGACGATAAGCTTTGAATTCGTGGGAAGTGCTATTAGCGTTGTAAAATGCAGTTTTTAGATCTTCCTTGCCTCAGTCTTCTCATGGGCAAAAATACGTAAGATTGTGACAGGATTAGTGAGAATTACTCTATCTGCCACATAAGTTCTAAAGAAAAAGTGCAAATCCCTACATTCTTTCAGAACCTCTTTTTCTTTTGGCATTGCCATTTTTATAAAATATAGAGAAATACAAAAACAAAGGCCATAAATTAACTGCTCATATTCCTCTTCCTGATGTTTATGGAGATAAAGATATTTGCATTAGGAGGGTAATGTTACAAGTGTGATCTTTATAAGTACATTATAAGGCTCATAAGATAGAAAGATAGGAAATGAAAAGGCACTCCCCTAACACATGACATATAACACACCAAAGCTGCCCTCTGTTAAGTTTCTAATATCATTTCTTCAAATTGTTCTGTTAATAGTAAACATGTTTAGGACTCTAGTATATATTTAATTTGTTTCTACTACAACTCTGCAGATATTAGTATTCTCATTTTACAGATAGCAACAGTGAGGCACGTGTTGTTTAAATAAACCCAGATTTACTCAGGAATTGATGAGACTTGAATGTGAAATCAGGCAGTTGACTTTAGAGCTTTTGAAATCAAGTTTAAACTGTCATAACCTGGCTTATGGTCACTTTTCATTTTTGTGAATAATTACAATACAGAGTCTTTAATTTATTCAGGGTATGGGGGAAGAAGTAATTGGATCTATAGACAAGAGTAGCTTTCACCTAATTTTTATTACAGGCTATAGTTAGAAATACATCTTATGTTGTTACACACGTGCAACTGAATTGAAAGTTTCAGGAAACTATAATTACTTTTACATATATGTTGTTCTCTGATATTTTATGTTATAGTCCATTTCAGTTTTAGTAGGTAATAACTGTGAGTCATAAATTTGGTCGTGAGAAACACGAAATCATTATTAGGTCACTGGATCTATTCTTGATTTATAGATGGCTCCTATAAGGATGTAGTGAATTGAGTCATAAAGAGGCTTTTATCTAACTAGCTACTCCAGGGTCTTGCTTGTTTTAAAAGAAATACCATTTCTTTTTCTTTGGACTAAATAAAAGGACTAAGCCCACTTTTATGTATCAACCGAGCATGCTTACTTTCGCATTATTTCAAATGTAGTTAACACATTTCACAAATCTTGACTTTTCTTACCATACTTTTTGTAAGAAATGAGAGCTGTATTTATTTGTGGATTAATTTACTTATTTAGGATTATCACACATTTACTTATCTTCCAAATCACATCTTATATTTGCCTAAGTTACTTTTAATTGTCTTTTAGTTTTATGCGTACCCAAATAAGCTAGAATACAAACAGTAGAACCACACTGTAATTTATATTTTGAGAACCTTTGAACTGGCTTTTTTAGCTCAGTTGTGGAAAACAGACATAACAATGATAAAGTTCTTGGTGATATAAAAACATAACATTCTCTACTCAGTTTATTGCACTTTCATGTTTCAAATTTTCTTAAATCTAGTTTTCATCAAGTATAGATTGAGTAGTTAAAAGCAATTCTTAGTTGATTCTTAGCTGGTTATTATTACAGTCATTGAATTGTCAGGCAATAGCTGTTCTAAGGATAAGAAATCACTACAGTCCCTTGGATGGAAAAGTTTCAAAATTACAGTAAATTTGTTTTGCAGATACTTAGGTGTAAAAATACTGGCATAATTTTTAAATAGCAGATAGTCTATACCCTTATGGAGCCTACTGTATTGTGGGGATTTCTAAAAAGCAACAGCAATAACAACACCCACAGAATGTGTAACCTAGAGTGATAGGAAAAGTACATTATACTGCCTTTTGGAATAATAGGGAATGTTATCTTGGATTTGGAACATTAGGGGTTTTGTTTTGTTTGTTTTAAACCAGGAAATATAGAGGGAAAGCCAAGCTAGTCAAGCAAATGTTGGAATGGTAACTGAATGCCTTTATGTAAAAATGAGTTTACAGTTCTGTACCATGAGATGAAACCATTTTTAAGGTCTTCAGGAATGATATTAAATCATATTGAAGTACTTGTGACTTTATGTTACCGTAACTGTAACCATATTCCTTCCAGTAGTAGAATTAAAAAAGAGAACTATATTAGTAATGCACTTATCCTGTCCATAATTAAGACATGAACTTCAGTTTCCATTGTTGATAAAAGTTCTCAAAGTACTTTTAATGCCCTCACAGTATGATCATATCAAATTGATCGAGTTTTTTCTTGTTGGCTAGAGTTGATGTGAGACTTTTATTTTCTACAAGTAGGATCCTTGATCCTGATTTTCTGTCGTTCCAAGTACAATACTCAAAGGGTTTTTTAAATAGTACCATTTTCAGGTGATATTATCTCTTTAGTTCAGTTCCACACAGTGATATAGTTTTGCTATAGGACTAGTATAATTCTGATAAGGTCCCTTTTTAGAATTCTGAGATCTCATAATATTAACTTTAGGTAAAAAAATTTTGAAATAGGCTTCTGGTAGTTAATATTTGACTTGGTTTATGATATGAAATAGGTGTTTTAATATCAAAACTAAAAAAATATAGAATCCAGTTCTATCTTCTTTTGAACAATACACTTAGCCCTCCAGTGGCTGCTCAGCTGACCCTGATTTTTCAGCATGACCATGCTTGCTTTCTTCCCCTCTCACCAATGCAAATGTATTTTTCCTTGTGGAAGATGTTGTGGTTTAAACTTTGGCCCACCAATAAAAAAAATAGGTCAGAGTGCTTCAGTCCTGGAGTGGGAATCGTTTTGTACTTTTTATTGTCTGACAAGGGTCCTGGACTATATTTTCAAGCAAATGTCCTGTCTTGGGGCCTAAGAGTCTTACTTGGTAACAGTTTAAAAAAAAAAAAGACTAATTTCACAATATCTTCCTAGACCAAAAATTACTGATTGCAAATTGGATTATCTTTTATTTAATGTTTTCTTAAAGTCTTACCACTTTCTTTAAGGAATCTCTAAGAAGTTCACATAGAACTTACAGTTAGAAAGGTGTTAAGTTTACTTTTTGCCTCAATACTATCACTCTTTGGGAAAGGTGATTTAAGGAATAAATTAGTTATTTATAAAAATACATAAACGTGTTTCTAATTGTGAAAAGTTGGTAACAAGCAAACTGAAACAATAGAAGAATGTTTACATAAATGATAGCACTGTACAATTTCTATTGCATACTGTCTGCTTATGTATCTGCCCATCTGTCAGTCTTTTTAATGCATGTAAATTATAGGCATCTGTGAAGCTGCCCTAAATACACTGATACATATCATTATCTAGAGTTCAGTATTTGTTTAAAGACTTACTAGTGCAAATCTTATGATACAGTCACTGAGTTTTGAAAAATGCAAATACTTGTACAACTCAAACCCTTACAAAAAATTATTACAACTACAGAAGGTTCCTGCATGTCTCTTTTACCTTTTATCCTGCACTCCTGTTCCTTGAGCAACCACTGTTCATTTCCATAAGTAAGACTTGCCTATTTTAGCTGGGCATGGTGGTTTATAGATTGGGAGACTGAGGAAGGAGGATCTTGAGTTCAAATCCAGCCCGGGTAATTTGGCGAGACTGTGTCTCAATATAAAAAAGGGCCAGAAATGTAGATCAGTGTGAGGCCCCTGGGTTCTATCTTTAGTACTGCTGTCACACACACAGGAAGAGTTACTTGTTTTAGAAGTTCATATAAATGGAATCAAACAATATTTAACTCTTTCTGAAAGACTTCTTTTGCTCAGCATAAAGTTTTTGAAGTAACGTATCCATAGTTCCTATTTATTACTAAATAGATTTCATTATATGAAGGTGCTATAGTTTATCCCTTTTATTGGTAGGACTCTTAGGTTGTTTCTAGCCCTGGCTATTATGAATCAAGCTGTTACGAATATTCTGAAAGATTCTTGTGAATAAGATTTTCTTTCATTTGGATAAATACTAGGGACCCCTGAAACATTACTGGAAACCTCTGCAGTAGGCACCAGTCTCCTGCTCAATGTATGACACAGAAAAGACAGAACTAAAAGAGACAAAAAGTGGGGCACCAGGATGACCAGTGTCTGTACAACGCACAAAGGTGCTGGCCAGACCAAGCTACTGCTTTTTATTGGCAATCCCTTGGGGTAAAGGTAAGCTATTTGTCAGGGTGAAACTATGCACAAGAATGTAAAGTCATGTGATTTCTATGGAAACTAATTTAAGCAGTGTTCTTAAAGGAAAAAGA